TATATATATATATATATATATATATATATATATATAAAATAAATTTATATATTAAAAGCAATAAAAAATAGAAAGCAAAGATAATTGCTTTAGCTCAACTCAAAATATATTGGTAACTTACTGAAGCCAATTACAATGTAATAAACTGTAAACAAATTTAATCCTTTCTCTGAGATAAATAAATACATTCTACTATATACAAATCCTACGACTGAATGGCTGATGACAACAATGACCACATACATGGTAAATATTAACATACTTTAATATTAACATACATAAACTTTAACACTACCTTTAGCCTTACTCTTGTACTTTTAATTTCCCCATTGATTCAGATTGTTTGCTTTTTTAAAATTCTCTAATGTACAAGAATTCTACCTTTTTTGGTTAATTGATGTTTTGGGAAAAGTCCTAACAAAAAAGAATGTGGTAATCATTTATAAACAGGTTCCTCAAATACCATCAATATCATGGTGAGCCTCACAAGAATGTTAAGACCAAAAGCCCAGTCAGTAACTTGCCCCAAAACTTCAAAAGTTTCAAACAAAAACCACACGCTAGAATCCCCAATACCTTTCTCCAACAAAAGCCTATTTTTTAGAAAGAACAGATGACATTTAAAAAACAGGAATATGGCCAACGGCTAAAATAGAGCTTAGGCCCCCAAACAAATTCAGGATTATTTTCCATATGCTCTTAATTGCAAGGTCTCAGAATATAAATTCAATACTCCATCAATGTGCATGCTTATCATAGGTTCCTCCCCTCCCCAAATGGGTACTCATTCATGCACAATGATTCCAGGCAGCTGCCTCCTAATCTAAAGTACTCTCGTTTTGTTTATCTGCTTCAGCCAGCTCTATGATAGCAATAGCACTTAGACTTATATACTGCTTCACAGTGCTTTGCAGCCCTCTCTAAGCAGTTTACAGAGTCAGCATATTGCCTCAACAATCTAGGTCCTCATTTTACTGACCTCATGCGTCAACCATGAGCCTGGTGAGATTCAAACTTCCAAATTGCTGGCACCAGTCAGTCAGCAGAAGTAGCCTGCAGTACTGCATTATAACCACTGTACCACCACAGCTCTTATAAGGCAGACCAGACTAAAAAAACAATGGATTAGAGATCTAAAACTACTTACATTGAGACATATGCTTCCCTCCTCCCTCCCTCAATATTTGTGTAATCGTTCGAGGGGCTTATGTGACATGCTTCTGAAACTAGTTTTGTAGGATGAGATCATGTCCCCTTGTTTGATCTTTGCCTTGGCAGCAGCTCTTGTTTCTATCCTTCAAGGCCATTTTCTATGCCCTCTACAGCTTGTTTGTTTTCATGAACTTTTCCTTGGTTGATCTTATGCCACAGTCTCTCCTTAACAAGCACCAGCAATGGTCTTTGTCCCGTTTCTCCCTATCTGAAAGAGGTGGAGTACTCAGAAGGACTTCAAAATGATCAGCACTCATAATTTTTACTTGTTAAAAAAATGTGTCTGTCCCATGAGAGTGGGGCAGGAGAAAAGTCCAAAGAAAGAAATGGAAGCTACAGTACTTGGAGGCCATTGGATTATTTTCTCTAAAGCACTTCAAGTCACCCAATTACTAGATAGATACCTTGATAAGGCACTTTGTGAATAGAGAGAGAGATTACAATTACCTTAATCATGATTTATTTGTTTGTTTATTTATTTGTTGCTTTGGCGATTACCATAAAATATAAACTATACCATAAACTAACCATAGGGGCAAGGTACACAGAGCACTGTAGCCTAACCTCTGGTTGGCTATTAGGATGTCAATAATTTATGCACATATAGTCAAAGTAGTTCATATCAGCCTGACTTTGTCTAACTTGTGAGTTGCTAGAAAATTTAAAAAAGCTTGTGATATTTTGGTTGGTTGTAATATTCTGCAAATATGGGTCGTTTAATTTTCATAGTTCAATGAAAACATTACAGTGTCTAGAAACCAACATGACTGATAACTTTCATAATTGTTTTAAAACATATCTGAAACAAATCAATTCACGTGAGTTACAGTTATAAATTGTGTACCTTAAAAATACTTTGCATTTGTAGTTTAAGCCATATTTTGGAACAGAGAGAAATGGGGAAGGGAGATCAAACTGTTTAGTAGAAAAAAATAGTGAAAGTGCACTACTGAAAACAGCAAAAGGTAGTTGAAGAACTTTGGCAACAGAATTGGATTGACTTGGAAGCAACCCCAACGACGTTTATCATGGTTTTGTTTTGATTTTTTTTTTTAAAAAAAATGATGATATACTTACAGCTTGTACACAGGCAGGAAGAAGCACAGTCAATCCCATCAGCAGGATAATTTGCATATCCCTGTACCAAGACAAGATTGAAATAGTTACAATTCACCACCTTATGGCCAGGCCGGCTCTTACTGTTTTGCATGTCTTACAGCAACTTTTAAGAAACGCTACAAATACTAGAAAGAAATAGGTCTACTTACTGCCCGGTCCTGCATCTTAAGCTGAAGTGCGGAGTACTTTTCATGTCTGCTTATTTTCTCCTTGTGGAAGAGGATGGTTCTAGAAATCAAAGGGAACATATGATGTCTTCAAAAGAGACATCAGCAGCGAGCAGAGGCAGGTATTTTTACGGTGGGAGGAGAGGAGGGGGATTAGCGCAACCTCCAAAGGATCACCCGAGTCAAGTTAAGCGGCACCTTCTCCGGGAGAGGCTACTATACAGAACCGCATGTCGATGATGGAGGACATTCCCCGCCCCTCCCGATTCCTCAGAAAGCTCCGCTTCCCTCCGGAATCAACGCCGGGTGGAATAACTTTTTCCCTCAGGTGGCTTATCTGGCTGGGGCGGGGAGGGGGTGACGACACACCCGAAGCCTTGAGACGCGAAAGTAGCGCTCGGGGAGCTTTCCGGGGTCTGGGGCCACGAAGGGAGCGAGAGAGGCGACCCCCCACCTCCCCGAGGCGGGCTGAATGCTGACGGCGGAGAAGTCGAGGCTCGCGCCCTTTGCAGGTATGGACTCACCTTCCAGTTCCCGCAGCTCCCTCAGGCTGCCGCTCGACCAGCCCGCATCCTTCCTCCGGACGCGACGGGCCCCTGGCTTTGAACGGACGCGGGAGGCAGCGGAACCGGGCGACTCCTCCTCGGCGGCTCCTGTCTCTCACGCTGTCCCAGGGGCCGGGGGCGGAGACAGGCGGGGAAGGGAGCGGTCGCTGCCGCCCACAAGCGGGGCCCAAGAATCAAGCTCGCCTTTCCGGCGCTAGAGACGCTCCAGGCGGGACACGGGAAAGGAGGCTGACGGTATCAGCCCCGTTGGGCACGGCCACGTGTGAGCACCGGTGGGGCGGACGGCACTTTCGCGACGATGGGTAGCAGCCTGGCGGGGCCGGGCATTGCGCTCCTCTTAGCGGTGCTGCTCGTTCCAGGGCGGCGGTCCGGGTCGGAGGCGGCGGGGGTGAGTATTGCCTACCTGCCTCGGATGGCTCGCTTGGCTCTTCTCTCCCCCTTTTCCCTGCACGCCTCAGTCAGCGGGATCCGGGGCCCCCACCCCCTCCGAGCCTCGTCTCAAGCCTTTACTGTATCTTGAAGAAGCGTTTTCTAAACTCCCCAAATCCGGTGGCAAGTAATAGCTTGCTTCCTATTTCCCGCAGCGCCCCACTGAGCAGACCACTCACGGGAGGTCTCTTTCTCTTCGGGTGTAGATCTCTGCTGCCGCTAAAGCTACTCCCGATGCAGAAGGCAGGGCAGGGGAATCCGGCATCGTCTTGTAGGCTAGTCCTGATATCAGTTTTTAAGACAGAATCAGCGGCATACCGGGTGCATATAAGCAGTATGTGTGGGAGTAATGATGTACGTATTACAGGTCTGTTGATTTATTTGAGGAGCAGCCTAAAGCCCTGCGTGTATTAATGGTTTTATTACATTTGTAAATAAATAAATTGTTGCTATCATATAAATGTTTGGCATTAACGTCCGAAGTAAAACAATTGCCTTTGTGTTTGGAAACAGCCACTTTAGTTTTGGAACACATGGACATTTGCTAATTTGCTGTTCAATTTCATTTATTCAAGTTGCTTTAAATTCATTGTTTGAAGATGTTCTTAAGATGCCTCTGTAGTGAACTAAAGGCACCCACAGACTATTTTTGCATAAAAAATGCAAAACTCATGGTAATTAATGGTCAATAAACTATGTTTTTCTGAATGAAACCATTACCTATGTTTACAAACCAGAATGAGTCTTAAATTAGCCCTCCACATTGTAGTCTAATAAATATTATATGAACCCACTTATAGATTCATTGGAGTGTTAGAAATGGAACAATGTAATCTCACTATTTATTATGGGAACTTCTAAATCCAAATTTATATCATGAATAAAATGTATATAACTCTATAAACTTAACTTCTATCTAGACAAGATGGATGTTTTACTGTGGTTGGGAGATTTGTTTGTTTTTGTTTTCAAACTATTTGAATGAAACTATCTTCTCCAAAGTACCAGACTTTCAATTTAATCAATCAATGTTATCAGTTGTTTATATGACCTTTAGGGTCTAAAAGCTTACATTATTTAAGATTTCTGGATCAACTTTACCTTGCTAGAAAGGAAGAGCCTAGATGTCAGATATCTTGTTATCATTCCAAACAACTTTATTCTAGCTTGCCAGTCTTTTTCCCAAATTACTTTCCCCCCCACTTTTTTTCTAATCTATTTACGGTTAATTTTTCCCCTGGTAATTTCATCACAATTGATACGAAACTGCTTTACTGAGTGCTCCAGAGGGAAGAAATTGAGGATAAAAAATAGTTGATTAGTTCCTATCCATTTCACTAATTATAATTGATCGGCACTGATTGGCAAATATCAGTCTAAAACAAAGGTTCTTAATCTTTTTCTGCCATGTCTGAAGAAATCTACAAACCTCAGAAAAATAATCTTAATCACTTAAAATAAAATAAAAACATACAGAGATTTCTGAAGGAAACAGATTAATTGCATATCAACCTGGGTTCAGGCCCTGGCATAGAACTGAACATATCTTTATTACCCTCTTTGATGACCTCTGACAAGACTGGGATTAAGGGAGAATGACCCCTCCTCCTAATCTTGTTTTATTTTTCAGAGGGATCTGATACCATCAACTGCTGGACAGGCTGCAAGATGTGGGAGGTGGCATAATGTTGCACTGGTTGCCATCCTTTAAAGCTAGTTCCAATTTGTGGCTCTGGATAGACAGAAGTCAACCCTTGGTTACTCATTTATGGTGTGCTGCAGGATTCAACTATTTTCCTCCTTTCATTTAATATCTACATGAAGCCACAGGGGGAGTGATATGTCAGCAAGGGATGAAATATAAGTATATAATATTATCCAGTGATGCATTGCTGCCCACAGTCAGAAAAGTGATGTGCTGAAGGCATTGTCATGAGATTATTAGAAATACGATCAGAAAGAACAGACTTAATCCTGAAAGAAAAAAATGGCTATGGATATGAAAAGCCTCCGATTCTAAAGACACGTCCCTCTCTATTTCTGAAGAAGGTTGAAGCTCCCTGAGCAGAGGGTGTTCATGATTTAGGGTTTTCCTGGATTTTTGGCCCTTGCTTGAATACCAAATATGATATCTAGTTTAACCATTGCAATTGTTTCTGGGTCAGGAAACACTGCACACTGTTATGCAGACCGTCATCATTTAACAATTGGACTATTTAATATATTCAGGATTCTGCCCTTGAAGACCATCTAAATTCTAGGAGCTTAAACCAGTAATTTGCTAGGTAATGATGGGCTCTTTAAGAGCTGCCCATGTAAAACACATCTACTCTATAAACTGCTTAGATGCCAATCCGCTTCCAGGTATAAATCAAGGTGATGAACACTACCTTCAAAACCCTACAGGATGTCTTCAGGACTTGGTTATTCAAGATCTCCCATAATAAACTTAATATGTTCACCCAAAAAGATCTAGAAGATAAGTCCTAGAAAATGGCATAGAAATATTAAGGAATAAAATGAAATAATAGACTGAAATAAAACATATATATAAGAAGGACATTAAAAATCTGGATTTATGTTTGCTACAACTAAATCTTGGAAATGTATAGAGACTGTTGTCTCTCTCTAAATTGAAATACAATCACTAGAAAATTTCACAATTATTTTGTTAGCTAGAACTTCTAGAAATTGTTATTTGGCAATATCTAAAGGGCCATATGTCAACTATCTCTGTGCTAAGTGCAGGTAATCCTGAACTTACAACAGTTCATTTAGTGACTGTTCAAAATTACAATGGTGCTAAAATGTGACTTATGATCGTTTTTCACATTACAACCACTGCAGCATCTGCATGGTAATGTGATCAAAATTCAGATGCTTTGCAACTTGATTCATGACAGTTAAAAATGTCCTGGGGTCATATGGTCACCTTTTATGACCGACTGACAAGTAAAGTCAATGGGAAGCCAGATTCACTTAACAACCGTGTTACCAACTTAACCACTGCAATGATTCACTTAACAACTGTAGCAAAAAAAAGGCCTTAAAATGGGGCAAAATCAACTTAACAAGTGTCTTGCTTAGCAACAGCAATTTTGGGTTCAATTACAGCTATAAGTTGACAACTACCTAGAGAAGGTTTGATTGGGTAGCTGAAAAGGGTCTAAATATCTGTATTTTCCATCACATTCCTCCACCATAGCCTGCTCAGTCACCTTTCCTGTATGGGTCGGGGGAAGGCAAATTGAATACAGTTTCTCTGGAAAAGGGTCTTTTTAGCAGAGACCTCCTAGTATCTAATAATCTAACATCTGATAATCTTACCTTATTTCAGTAAAATTATTCTTTTTATTCTCATACGTATGTGGCGCAGTGGGTAGAATGCAGTACTGCAGGCCACTTCAGCTGACTGCTAGATCAGCAGTTCAGCGGTTCAAATCTCACCGGCTCAGGGTTGACTCAGCCTTCCATCCTTCCGAGGTGGGTAAAATGAGGA